TTTCATTCGTCATGTCTATGTTATTTTATTTGGATTTTTGCGTGCGCGTAACACGGAAGTTATTACTTATTGGTCGAGAAAAATCTAAAAAGAACCTAATAATAGCCTTCTGACCTACAGGTTTAAGTTCTCGCGCAATGGACCGATCAAGAACATGGGCTGCCTGAGATGGTTTCCAAAGAAAAAACGTGGTTGGGACAACAGTTATCTCTGCGCTGAGGCATCAACTGTCGCTTCATCAACCGCTAATTCAGGTGTGATTAGAATTTACAAATAGGAATTCCTCATTAAGTGTTCGCGGTTTTCTGCACCCTCTTGAGCGATTGCTGTGTCGTTGCGCCAGTGAGCAATGATGACAGATCAGCGTGCAACTTTAGAAACCTTGCTTAATTATTCAAAGATATCTTCTATTGCAAGCTCAACTGTCTTCCTCGCTTTGATGCAAAGGTACCTTTCAATATGGCGGAGGACACCGTGAAGAAAGCTATTAAGACCACAGTAGATATCTGCTAAAATCTAACAATATTTTCTTCTATCAGAAAAGAAACCAATTTCAGGAGGATGGACTGAATGGACGGAGTGGACATCTTGTACCAAGTCTTGTGCTGGAGGATTTCAGAAACGTCACCGATCATGTACCAATCCATCCCCGAAGAATGGTGGCCCCTTGTGTCGTGGGACAGACATCGGRACTAGACGATGTAACGTACAGGGATGCGTTATAGGTATTGTAATAATTTTAATATCTGATGTCGTGGAACTGGAACATGCGAGAAGTACCCAGTTTCTTCATAACTTGTTTCAGCAGTTGTAGCAGTTTTGTTGAGAATATTTAAGACAAAGGATTTCACAGTTTTTTGTATTGTTTCCAGATGGAAAGTGGTCTGACTGGAAATCATGGACAAAGTGTACGAAGTCTTGTGGTGGCGGTGAACAACAGCGACGTCGCACGTGCTCCAAYCCCRCCCCTCAGAATGGCGGGAAAATTTGTTACGGGGCTGACATTGTCAGAAGAAGATGYAACGAAAATCCTTGCGCCATACGTAAGAATGAACGTTTGATTCTCGTATTTATTGTTTCTGTCATTCATTCATTTCTTTATTCATTTCTTATTCATTTCTTGCTATTTATCTTCATTGAGTCTATTCATTTGTTCAATCTCCAAACATTGTTACATTAATTCCAGTCATCAATCAGTTATTAAGTTCATTTATTCATTTCTATCCATTCATTCATTCATTTCCATCCTTCTATTTCGTTTCATTATATTTATCTATTTACTCATTTTTCACCCCCTATTAGATGGTGGATGGTCGCAGTGGTCGTGGTGGGGGAGGTGTAGTAGAACGTGTTCACGAGGTGTTCAGGTGCGAAGTCGAACGTGTACAAACCCAGCACCAAGAGATGGCGGTCGAATGTGCTTTGGTTCAAATGGAGAAACGAGATTATGTAACAATGGTCCCTGTCCAATAAGTAAGCATAAAATACTTTATTTTTGCTTGGTTTTCTTCATTGTATTGAACTACAACGATATAAATAAATCCAATACATCTCTGTACGTGCACAATAAAATGAATCTTGAATCTTGAATCTTGAATCTTTTGTTTTCTATTTTAAAGATGGTGCTTGGTCTCGTTGGTCCTCTTGGGGTGCCTGCAGTAAACGGTGCAGCGGTGGTGTTCAAATACGCAGGCGCTCTTGCTCAAACCCTCCTCCGCGATATGGCGGTCGAGACTGTCTTGGGTTAGGCAAGCAAGAAAAACGGTGCAATACTCAGTCTTGCCCAATAGGTATGAGCTCGGATTTTTACTTATTTGCGCAAAGAAATAGCATTTGTTAAAGTGCAATAAAGTTGTTTTAATTTTTTTTTTCGATTTGTTTCATTTTAATCAAGACGGCGCCTGGACTCCATGGTCATCATGGCGACCCTGCAGTAAAACCTGTGGCGGTGGGATTCAAAAACGCATGCGCACTTGCTCCAACCCAGTCCCTCGATATGGAGGAAGAGGATGCTATGGAAGAAACGTCGAAGAGAAACGCTGCCAGACGCAAMWTTGTCCAAAACGTAAGCAGTTTTCAATGATTTTTCGCGMTCTCCWTTTTCTTGTTGAAAAATTGAGATKTTTYKGTTGTCAAATAWATCTCAAAAAAGKYAGTAAGAGATTTTTTTGATGGTACTTTCATCATCATGACATTATCATCGTTTTGAAAGTTAACCTTATTTTTGCCTCGATCTWCCCAGAACCCATCCACGGTCGATGGAGCGTGTGGTCGTCYTGGCAGGTTTGTAGTAAATCGTGTGGTGGAGGTGCTCAACGTCGATCACGCACATGTACAAACCCTTCKCCCGCTCATGGTGGACGGAACTGTTTCGGAGGATCATTTCAGTCAAGACGATGTAACACTTTACCATGTGCTGTAGGTTAGTATAGTAGACATTATTTTATTCGATTTTATTCGTTCCTTCGTTCATTTATCTCAGTTTTGTCGACAATTTATC